CAAGTGTTGTCTCAGTACAGACTATACAGAAGTAAGCACTATTGAAATTTACTTGTTCCATACCCTAAACTTAGACAATTTTTAAAAAAAAATATTGGCCAGGCATGGTGACTCCTACGTGTAATCCCAGCACTTTGGGAGGCTGAGGCAGGAGGATTGCTTTAGCCTAGGGGTTCAAGACCAGCCTGGACAACACAGTGAGACCTTGAGTTTACAAACTATTAAAAAACAATACCCCATCACGGTGGCGTGCACCTGTACTACTCAGGAGGCCAAGGTGGGAGGATTGCTTGAGCCCGGGGAGTTGAGGCTGCAGTGAGCTGAGATCACGCCACTGCACTCCAGCCCAGGTGACAGTGTGAGAAAAAAGTCTGGCCTGGCACCGAGGCTTACACCTGTAATCCCAGTTCTTTGGAAAGATTGCTTGAGCCCAGGAGTTCAAGACTGGTCTGAGCAACATGGTGAAACCCCAAATTAAAAAATTATCTGGGCATGGTGGTGTAAACCTGTAGTGCTAGCTACTTGGGAGGCTGAGGCAGGAGGATCGCTTGAGCCCAGGAGTTCAAGGCTGCAGTGAATTATGATCATGCCACTGCACTGTAGCCTGGGCAGCAGAGCAAAACCCTGTCTCTAGAAAACTCTGCAGCAATCCCTCCTCCACCCCAACTCACACACTTTTTTTTTCTTTTCTTGGAATATAACATGTTCTCAGAAAAGCACACTGTTTAGGAGTTTAGCCAACATCTATATCAAGACATTGAATTTTACTAGCATACCAGAGACTCCTCTCCCAAAAGGAACACTACTAGACTTTTTTCTTTTCTTCTTTCTTTACCTTAATTTTTTTTTAGTTGTTTTAGAGATAGGGTATTGCCACATTGCCCAGATGGAAGTGCAGTGGCTCTTCACGGGTGTGGTCATAGCACACTGCAGCCTCCAACTCTTAGCCTCAAGTGATCCTACCCCTGCCCAGTCTCCTGAGTAGCTATAGTGTAGCACCTGACATTTAAACTATAGATGAGTTTTACCTATTTTTGAACTTTCTTTTTTGGAGACAAAGTCTCTCACACAGGCTGGAGTACAATGGCACAATCTTGGCTCACTGCAACCTCCACCTCATGGCTCAAGTGATCCTCTCACCTCAGCCTCCCAAGTAACTGGGACTACAGACATGCACCACCATACCTGGCTAATTTCTGTATACTTTGCAGAGATGGGATTTTACTGTGTTACACAAGCTGGTCTCAGATTCCTGGGCTCAAGTGATCCACCCACTTCGGCCTGCTGAAGTGCTGGGATTACAGGCATGAGCCACTGCACTCAGCCTTGAACTTTATATGAAGTGTAACCATATACTCTTTGCCTGGCTTCATTTAACTTATGAGGTTCATCCATATAGTTCCAGATTGAAAGAGTTCATTCAGGCCGGGCACGGTGGCTCAGGCCTGTAATCCCAGCACTTTGGGAGACTGGAGTGGGCAGATCATCTGAGGTCAGGAGTTCAAGACCAGCCAGTCCAACATGGAGAAACCTCGTCTATACTAAAAATACAAAAATTAGCTGGGCGTGGTGGCACATGCCTGTAATCCCAGCTACTCGGGAGCCTGAGGCAGGAGAGTCGCTTGAACCCGGGAGGCAGAGGTTGCGTTGAGCGTAGGTTGCACCATTACACTCCAGCCTAGGCAAGAAGAGTGAAACTCCATCTCAAAAAAAAGAAGAAGGCTGGCCGCGGGTGGCTCATGGCTGTAATCCCAGCACTTTGGGAGGCTGAGGTGTGCAGATCATGAGGTCAAGAGATCGTGATCATCCTGGCTAACATGGTGAAACCGCGTCTCTACTAAAAATACAAAAAAATTATCCAGGCATAGTGGTGCGCACCTGTAGTCCTGAGTATCCCAGCTACTCAGAAGGCCAGTGCAGAAGAATCACTTGAACCCGGGAGGCAGAGGTTGCAGTGAGCCAAGATCATGCCACTGCGCTCCAGCCTAGGCGACAGCACAAGACACTGTCTCAAAAAAAAAAGAGTTCATTCATTCTCTTTTTTTGTTTGTTTGTTTGTTTGTTTGTTTGAAACGGAGTCTCACGCTGTCGCCCGAGCTGGAGTGCGGTGGCACCATCTCGGCTCACTGCAACCTCCACCTCCAGGGTTCAAGCGATTCTCCTGCCTCAGCCTCCCAAGTAACTGGGACTACAGGCGCCCACCACCACGCCCAGATAATTTTTTTGTATTTTTAGTAGAGATGGGGTTTCACTATGTTTAACAGGCTGGTCTTGACCACCTGACTTCATGATCCTCCTGCCTCAGCATCCCAAAATGCTGAGATTACAAGCGTAAGCCACCACACCCAGCCTTCATTTATTCTTTTAACTGTATGGCCTGGCATTCTCTACTTTTTATTGAAAGCACTATTTTTGGCAAGTACTTGGAATTTTAAGGTAATTGTATATTTGGAAGTTATTAGCCCTTTTAAATTATCTTGCTATATTAGCTTCTTGACAAAAAATAAGTAAGGTCACATTTTATTAGCATGGTATTCATATAATCTAGTAAATTCTTTAATGAAATACCAGATTTTGGGAGGAAATGTGTTGTGCCATTGCTGCCCTTTGCTTGCTGTCCTCTGTTGTCTTGTGTTCCTGCCCACCTGGTAATCATGTTTGAGGAGCTGAGGTAAAGACAGAAACAGGTAGGCCTAGCAGGATTATAGGACTTGAACCAGTTCAGTGGCAGGATCTCCAGGTTAGGAAAATTGAAAGTATACTGTGCCACTTCACTTCTAAAATATTGATAAAGTAATGTCTAGCTCTCAATCTGTATTTTTCATGTTTCTTTAAGAAAGAGAGGGATTCCTACCATCCTGAAATGTTCTTATGCTTAAATGCCTCTGCAGTGCAGTTAAGCCTGCCCTAAACTCTGGCATTTCCACAAGAGAGAATAGGTGTTAGCCTGTGACTCCCTCTTAGCCACTGGGCTGTCATTGGATCCATTGTCTTTATATATCCTCCCTAAAGCCATCAAAGACCCACTATTTAAATTTGCAGTTTTTGTAGTGCACGCAAATTAAAACATGGCTAGAATTAATTTTTGTTAAAGGAAATTAATTTTCATATTTATTCATGTAAAAAGAATTTGCTGACCAGGTATGGTGGCTCACACCTGTAATCTCAGCACTTTGATAGGCCAAGGCTGATGGAATCTCTTGAGCCCAGCAGTTAGAGACCAACCTGGGCAACATGGCAAAATCCTGTCTCTACCAAAATATATATATATGTGTGTGTGTGTGTGTGTGTATATATATGTGTGTGTGTGTATATATATGTGTGTATATACACAAAATATTGTGTATAGGTATGTATGTGTGTATGTGTGTATATATGTGTGTGTGTGTGTATACACAGACACATACATACATACATACACAAAATATTAGCCAGGCATAGGGGTGGTGGCACACATCTGTTTTCCCAGTACAGTTTGAATTTTTCTTTGCCTAAGATTTTTTTTAATTTTATAAAAACGACTGGCAAGATAGCTTCATTTTTTTTTTCTTTTCTTTTCTTTTTGGAGACATGGTCTTCATCTGTCACCCAGGCTGCAGTGCAGTGGCACAATTTGGGCTTACTGCAACCTTGGCCTCCTGGGCTCAAGCGATCCTCCCACCTCAGGCCTACCCCAGGTAGCTGGGACCACAGGCAAGCACCACCACACCTGGAAAATTTTTGTGTTTTTTCGTACAGATGGGGTCTCTCTATGTTGCCCAGGCTGGTCTCGAACTCCTGGGCTCAAGTGATCCACCTGCCTCAACCTCCCAAAGTGCTGGGATTACATGTGAGAGCTGCCGCACCCAGCCAATCACCTAAATTTCCTAAAGTTATTTTAAACTAGTTACAGAATATACAAAATAAAATAGCTCTTTTTTTTCCCCTTTTACTTTATTTATTTATTTATTGAGTCAGAGTCTCGCACTGTCACCCAGGGTGGAGTGCAATGGCGCAATCTCGGCTCACTGCAACCTCCGCCTCCCATGTTCAAACAGTTCTCCTGCCTCAGCCTCCCAAGCAGCTGGGATTACAGGCTAATTTTTTTTTTGTATTTTTAGTAGAGACAAGGTTTCATTATGTTGGTCAGGTGGTTTCAAACTCCTGACCTCGTGATCTGCCCGCCTCAGCCTCCCAAGGCGCAATCTCGGCTCACTGCAACCTCTGCTTCCTGGGTTCAAGCGATTCTCCCTCCTCAGCCTCCCAAGTAGCTAGGACCACAAGCACAAGTCATCAGGCCCAGCTAATTTTGTGTTTTCAGTAGAGACAGGGTTTCACCATGTTGGCCAGGGTGGTCTTGAACTACTGAACTCAAGTGATCTGCCTCCGTCAGCCTCCCAAAGTGCTGAGGTTACAGATGTGAGCCACTGCGCCCGGCAGATGATGTATTTTTAAGCACCTCTAGAATTATTCTATATTCAACAAATGGCAAGCTGTTAAAGACCAAACATCAAAGTCTTCTCTGTGATATTATGGTTTGGGGGTGATTTTTTTCCAAAGGAGAAAAGTACAGATGGATAATAGTGTCTATATTGAGTCTTCACAGATGGGATTCACTGAATTGTTTAAATAGCTAGCTAAATTCATTTGTTTTACTGTATTACTATAAGCTTATTGTAAGTAAAGTCATGTCAAGCCTCTGATGTTATTGAAATTCCAATGTGCTAAAATACAAAGTATTTTCATTGATGGAGAACTTTTAATGAAGACAGATAAGAAAATGTTTTATTTATGCCACTTCTGCATTTTAGGAAATAAACAGCAGCACAGTAATACTTAGGTTGCCTATTAAATTTTTGTTGAATTGAGTTTTAAAAAGGGACAAAAATGGTTATAAAAATTCCTGTTTTGCTAAGTAAAAAACTATGCGACTTTCTAAAATCTAGAAAGTTACAATTGGAGTGATAACACCGTAAAAGCACATTTTCCCCATTAAAGTAATTAACACTTTTTGGTTTTAGGAATTGGAACGAGCGTGGAGAGAATATGATAAGTTAGAATACGATGTAACTGTTACCAGGAACCAGATGCAAGAGCAGCTAGATCACCTTGGTGAAGTTCAGGTACAGAAATATAATATTCTTTATATTGTTTTAACTGTTTTTACTGGTACTGTACAATCCACCTTGTTAGATTTCTGCATACCCTTAACAGTTTTTACATTATTGGCTACCTGAGACCTGGATTTGAATACTTTTAATGACAGGAATCTTACTATCTCACAAAGTAGACCATCCCCACTTGTTTAAGAGTTCTTTGTTCTGTTGGGCACATCATGGTGAGCCCTGGAGTGTTCTGTGCTCCTAGCAGTTCTCAGCTCTGCAGTTCCTAAAAACATGGTTTCATATCCTTTCACAAGTCCATCCGTGTCACTTGGTATTGAGATGTTGAATTATATGGATTTATCAAATAATGAATATTTATATATATATATATATATATATATATATATGTTTGTGTGTGTGTGTGTGTGTGTGTGTATATATATATATATATATATATATTTTTTTTTTTTTTTTTTTGAGATGTAGTTTTGCTCTTGTCGCCCAGGCTGGAGAGCAGTGGCGCGATCTCGGCTCACTGCAACCTCTGCCTCCCAGGTTCAAGCGATTCTCCTGCCTCAGCCTCCCAAGTAGCTGGGATCACAGGCATGTACCACCAAGCCCAGCTAATTTTGTATTTCTTTTTTTTTTAGTAGAGACGGGGTTTCTCTGTGTTGGTCAGGCTGGTCTCAAACTCCTGACCTCAGGTGATCCACCTGCCTCGGCCTCCCAAAGTGCTGGGATTACAGGCTTGAGCCACTGCGCCCAGCCAATATTTCATCTTTTTAATAAAATTATTCTAATACTTTCTATATTAAATGTCTCTCATTTTGTGAAATTACATTTGGCCTGTTGACTTCACTGACATATTATTGGAATAGGGGAAGATACAGCACCATTTGCTATAAAGAATCTAGTTAATAAGCAAATAGATCTGACACCTAGTTCCAAGGGTTAGTTTTCTTATCTATAAAATAGAAATAATAATACTTGGCCGGGCATGGTGGCTCACACCTATAGTCCCAGCACTTTCGGAGGCTGAGGTGGGTGGATCACCTGAGGTCAGGAGTTTGAGACCAGCCTGGCCAACATGGCGAAACCTTGTCTCTACTATAAATACAAAAATTAGATGTAGTGGCAGGCATCTGTAATCCCAGCTACTTGGGAGGCTGAGGCAGGAGAATCACTTGAACCCAGGAGGTGGAGGTTGCAGTGAGCTGAGATCCCATGACTGCACTCCAGCCTGGGAAGCATAGCGAGACTCTATCTCAAAAAAAAAAAAAAAAATGAAAGAAAAAGAAATAATACTTATCTTAAAATGTTTCTCTGAGGAATGCAGATAATATATGTTTAAGAAAATAATAAAACTTACTTTATGCTTATGACCAATGTAAACTTGATCCTTTTAGTTGGAAATGCGTGGACTTAACAGACAATGAATAAAAGATTAGTTAAGTTTGAGACCAACCAGCCTGACCAACATGGCGAAAACCCATCTCTACTAAAAAATTATAAAATTAGCCAGGATGACAAGGTCAGGAGCTCAAAACTAGCGTGGCCAAGATTGTGAAACCCCATCTCTACTAAAAATACAAAATGAGCTGAGTTTGGTGGCAAGCACCTGTAATCCCAGTTACTCGGGAGGCTGAGGCAGGAGAATTGCTTGAACCTGGGAGGTGGAGGTTGCAGGGAGCTGAGATCGCACCATTGTACTCCAGCCTGGGCAACAAGGGTGAAGCTCCATCTCAAAAAAAAAAAAAATTAGTAAGGTTGAATCAGAAATTCAGCTGCCCTCTATCTGGGCTGTCCAGCGTAGTACTGGCCACAAGTAGTTGTTGGGCATATGAAATGTGACTATTGTTACTATACAACTAAAACTGAACTTTCAGTTGTTTTTATGTTAACTATCTAAATTTATTTACTTATTTATTACATCAGGGTTTTGTTCTGTCACCCAGGCTGGAGTGCAGTAGCATGATCCTAGGTGAAACCTTGAGCTCCTGGGTCCAAGTGATCCTCCTACCTCAGCCTTCCAAAGTGCTGGGATCATCAGCTGGGCACAATGGCTCATGCCTATAATCCCAGCACTTTGGGAGGCCGTGGTGGGAGGATCAGTTGAGGCCAGAAGTTTGAGACCAGCCTGGCCAATGTGGTGAAACCCCACCTCTACTAAAAATACAAAAATTAGCTGGGCACCTGTCATCCTGGCTACTTAAGGCTGAGGCAGGAGAATCGCTTGAACCTGGGAGGCAGAGGTTGCACTGGAGTGGAGATCACACAACTGTATGCTAGCCTGGGCGACAACGGGAGACTCTGTCTCAAAAAAAAAAAACACAAAGTGCTGGGATTACAGTCATGATTCACCAAGCCCAGTTTATCTAAATTTAAATGGCCACGTGTGGCTGGGACTTCTGTATCGGACACTGAAGTGACACTGTCAGTAATCGGCTACGATAACCAACTGCAGGCGCCTGTAGTCCCAGCTACTCGGGAGGCTGTGGCAGGATAATTACCTGAACCTGGGAGGCAGAGGTTGCAGTGATCCGAGATCGTGCCAGTGCGCTCCAGCCTGAGCGATGGGTGAAAGTCCATCTCAAAAAAAAAAAAAAAAAGAAAGAAATCAGCTACAAAAATGAGATACTAAATACACTAGAAAAATAGCTATAAATACCTAAGATGTAACTAGAGGTCAGCAAACTTTCTGTAAAGGTCAAATGTGTCACTGTCACATATTTAATGTTTTTTGTTTTTTTACAACTTTTTTTTTTCTTTTTTTTTTTTTTGAGATGGAGTTTCACTCTTGTCGCCCAGGCTGGTATGCAGTGGCGTGATCTCTGCTCACTGCAACCTCCACCTCTCGGGTTCAAGTGATTCTCCTGCCTCAGCCTTCCTAGCAGCTAGGATTACAGGCATGTGCCACCACACCTGGCTAATTTTTGTATTTTTAGTAGAGACAAGGTTTCACCATGTTAGCCAGGCTGGTCTTGAATGCCTGACCTCAGGTGATCTGCCCGCCTCAGCCTCCCAAAGTGCTGGGATTACAGACATGAGCCACCGTGCCCAGCTATAACTTCTTAAAAATGTAAAATTTGTTCTTAACTCACAGGCCATACCAAAAGAGGCTGCAGGCCACAGAAATTTGCCAATCCCAGATTTAACCTACCAAAAAATATATTTACTATGAAAATTTAATAACCTTATTATAGGATATAAGAGAAGACCTGAATTAATGGAGAAGTGTAATTGGTATACCATATTCATGGATGGTCTGATTTAACATCATCACAATGAAAATTCTTCCCATAAATGCAATTTTATTCCAACCAAATTTCCAGTAGAATTTTCTAAAGAAATTTCTTAAATGGTTCTAATATTTTTAAGGTATAATAAAGACCACAAGTAGTTAAAAATTTTTTAAAAAAATAAAAGAACTAAAAGTCATACTCTATGAATGGTGACATTGCATATACAGCCTTAGACCAGTTACATAACAACTCTAGGTCTCAGTTTCTGCAACTATAAAATAAACTAATATCTACTCCTACTAGGTTATTATGAGGATAAATATGTTTGTATTTTTGCAGCATGTAGAATAAAACCAGGCATATAAAGCACACTATATAAGTGTTTGTTAAATAAATAAACAAGGAAACATAATGCAAAACTATAGTGTTAAACATGGTACAGGAAAAAAATAGACCAATGGAACAGAATAGAGAGTTTAACAGCAGACCATGAATATCTACGAAGCAGAGAGAGAAAGAGAGGGAATTGTTGAACAACATTCGGCTTTATCAGAGTTAAAGATTTACCCTCAATGAAGGCAACATAGACAAAGTAAAAAGATGAGCTACTGGGAGGATGTATGTTTGACCTCAGAAATTCAACAAGGGATAACTATCTAGATTTGCAAGGAAGTTTTTTTGTTTTTTGTTTTTTTTTGATTTGGAGAAATAGTCGATTAGAAAAAGATACAAAGAACATGAGTAACTAATCATAGGAAAACTCAAATTACTAACAAGTGTTTGAAAAATAGTTCAAAGTTGGCCAGGCACAGTGGTGTATGCCTGAAATCCCAGCACTTTGGGAGTCCAAGTCAGACAGATCACTTGAGGTCAGGAGTTCGAGACCAGCCTGGCCAACATGACAAAACCTCATCTCTGCTAAAATACAAAGAAAGATAGCTGGGCATAGTGTCACACACCTGTAATTCCAGCTACTTGGGAGGCTGAGGCAGGATTGCTTGAACCCGGGAGGCAGAGGTTGCAATGAGCATATATCTTTTAAATTTTATAAAAGTAATACATGTTGTATATAGATGCACAAGGATTTATTTATAGTGATCTTCCCATCCTCTGTGTCAGTATTTACATCTCCGGGCTGTCATTGTGTTTTGCTCTTGTATGGGTACTTTCTTTTTTTTTACTTTTTGATGCTTCCAGGCTGTAGCTTGGAAAACTAGATAACTTAGGTTATGTAGTGCCTTTTTGAAGCAGCATTAATTCATAGTCTTTAGGCTTATAGAATTTTTTGCTTGAGTTTTTTCTTTTTCATTTTCTTTTAATTTTTTTAATGTTTTGATCATCTCCCAAGTGCTTGGAAGACTTTGAAAACATATTTTTTTTTTCTTTTTTTTTTTCTGAGACGGAGTCTCGCTCTGTCACCCAGGCTGGAGTGCAGTCGCCGGATCTCGGCTCACTGCAAGCTCCGCCTCCCGGGTTCACGCGATTCTCCTGCCTCAGCCTCCCGAGTAGCTGGGACTACAGGCGCCCGCCACCTCGCCCGGCTAGCTTTTTGTATTTTTTAGTAGAGATGGGGTTTCACCGGGTACATATTTCTTTTTCTTCCCCCCCGTGACGGAGTCTCGCTCTGTCACCTAGGCTGGAGGACAGTGGCACAATCTCAGCTCATTGCAGCCTCTTCCCCCAGGCCCAAGTGATTCTCTCACCTCAGCCTCCCAAGTAGCTGGGACCACAGATGTACACCACCCCGTCCAGCTAAGTTTTTGTATTTTTGGTAGAGATGGGATTTTTCTGTGTTGCCCAGGGAGGTCTTGAACTCGTGAGCTCAAGCAATCCGCCCACCTCAACCTCCCAAAGTGCTGGGATTATAGATGTGAGCCACTGTGCCTGGCTGAAAACATATTTCTACCCCTTAGAGGACTTTTTTAGCATATTGATGCAATACTGATTGTATTCTATTGTCTATAGTCATTAATAACTGATACTCAGTGAAAAAATACTGTTCTAGGCAATGTGACAGTTTTTGTATGTCATTGCCTATTTTTAAAAATAAAGTTACATTCCTAGAATAGTGTTTATTATTATCCAGAATGGTGTTACTATTACCCAATTTATGAATAAGAGTCATAGAATTCTAATAGAATCTCAGAGAAAACCAATGTAATCTTATTTTAGTTTCAGTTAGTTACTGTATTTAACCTGAGGGCATGATATGGAATATTAAAAGTAAGAAAATTGGCTGGGCGTGGTGGTTCACGCCTGTAATCTCAGCACTTTGGGAGGCCGAGGTGAGTGGATCACCTGAGGTCAGGAGTTCGAGACCAGCCTGGTCAACATGGTGAAACCCCGTCTCTACTAAAAATAGAAAATTAGCCAGGTGTGGTGGCGCATGTCTAATCCCAGCTACTCGGGAGACGGAGGCAGGGCAATCACTTGAACCTGGTAGGTGAAAGTTGCAGTGAGCTGAGATTGTGCCATTGTACAAAATACAAAAATTATGGCATTTGCCTCTAATCGCAGCTACTCAGGAGGCTGAGGCAGCAGAATCACTTGCGCCCAGGAGGCAGAGGCTGCAGTGAACTGAGAGCTTGCCACTGCACTCCAGCCTGGGCGACAGAGCAAGACTCCGTCTCAAAAAAAAAAAAACAAATACATTTAAACTCTGTCAGTCAAAACTCATCTTGATATATTTTGTTCGTTGTCCCTTTGTTGTTGTTTTTATGTTCTAGAACCTAGGAAGTTAGTATACCTTCCATTTCTCACCTGTTCCCCAATACCCCGCCATGTCTCCCCCTCCCAGAAATTATTTTTTCTTTTGGGGTTTGTTTCTGCTCTGTTTCCATTCTCTCTGTATTTTCCATTTTGGTCCCTTTTAATCAATATGCCTTCCTGGGATCATAAATAATGCAAGACAAAGCTTATTGGAAAGATTTAAAATAGTATATTTAAGTATGAAAATTAAATATTTTTCTTTCTCTGCTGTCTTTTATATTTGCCACTGGAATTGCAAAATTGGGAGAGTCACATCAGTCATATTAAATATTCATAACACTTAATTCACTGCAATTTGCATTTTTAAAATAGAATTTATATAATTAATATATAATCATTTAACTTCAGTAAATGATTTTCTTTCTTATATGTGGTCTATCCATTTTTACTGATAGACGGAATCAGCAGGAATTCAGCGTGCACAGATTCAGAAAGAACTTTGGCGAATTCAAGATGTCATGGAAGGGCTGAGTAAACACAAGCAGCAAAGAGGTACTACAGAAATAGGTAAATTAGCTTTGCATTTTATTTTGTGACTGACCACAGTGTTACAAGTCACGTGTCACTTCGTGACAGATTATGTTCTGAGAAATGCATTGTTAGGTGATTGTGTTGTGCAATCAGAGTGTACTGAAACAAACCTAGTTGTATGGCCTACTACACACCTAGGCTATGTGGTATAGCTTATTGCTCCCAGGTTGCAAACCTGCACCTGACTGTACTGAATACTGTAGACAGTTGTAACACAATGTTATTTGTATGTCCAAACAGAAAAGGTAATGTGTTACACTGTGACATGAGGGCAACAACTAGGCAATAGATGTTTCTCACCTCTGGCTGGGTGCAGTGGCTCATGCCTGTAATCCCATCATTTTGGGAGGCTGAGGTGGGCAGATCACCTGAGGTCAGGAGTTCAAGACCAGCTTGGCCAACGTGGTGAGACCCTGTCTCTACTAAAAATAAAAAAAAATTAGCCAAGCATGGTGGCGCATGCCTGTAGTCCCAAATACTCAGAAAACTTAGATATAGGCCGGGCGCGGTGGCTCACGCCTGTAATCCCAGCACTTTGGGATTCTGAGGCGGGCGGATCACAAGGTCAAGAGATCAAGACCACGGTGAAACCCCATCTCTACTAAAAATACAAAAAATTAGCCAGGCGCGGTAGTGGGCGCCTGTAGTCCCAGCTACTCAGGAGGCTGAGGCAGGAGAATGGCGTGAACCTGGGAGGTGAAGCTTGCAGTGAGCCGAGATCGCGCCACTGCACTCCAGCCTGGAGGACAGAGCGAGACTCTGTCTCAAAAAAAAAAAAAAAAAAAAGCTTAGATAGGAGAATCACTTAAACCCGGGAGGTGGAGGTTGCAGTGAGCCAAGATCATGCCACTGTATTCCAGCATGGGCAACAGAGGGAGATTGTCTCAAAAAAAAAAAAAAAAAAAGTTATTTCTCAGTTGCATTATAATCATATGGGACCACTGTCGTATATGTAGTCTGTTGCTGACCAAAACATTGGTATGTGGCACATGACTGAATGTCTAAATGGAATGATACATATAATTGAGTTTCTTTTGTTATTTTAATGCATTTTTCTGAACAGGCACTCTTATCAGAGCACAGGTTTATAAAGTAAAAAGCAAAAGCTCTGTCAACCACACCTAAACAAAACTAATTACTGTCTTGTGTGTATAATTTTTAATACCCACAATGTTTACACTTTAGAAGTTTTATCCCCACAAGAACTGGGATCTTCCTATGTCTATTTTTCAATAATTTCACCATGTTAATGCTTAGCACTTTGTGGAAGTTTGATCCTCACAAGAACTGATCTTCCCATGTCTATTAACACCATTTTTCCAGAGCAATCATAATATTGTGCAATATAAGAACTATTGTATAAGGGAACTATAATTTATTTATCCATTTCCATGTTGATGACAGTTAAATAAGTTTCCAGAGTTTTTTATTTTCTTATTGTCATAATAGCAAAATTTGAACATTATTAATATACACAACTAAACACCCGCATATGCTAATAGATTTCAAAAGGTGAGAAATAAGTAATACATTTTCCATTTTGATAGCTGCAGCTAAATTGCCCTCCTTGAAGGATTAAATAAAAGTATTACCTAAAATACTGAGAAAACCCACTTGCCCATACTCTTGTGTAAATATTTGTTGCTTTAATGTAATTGAAGTTTCCAATTTGAAACAAGTGAATGATTAGAAACTGAAGACTTGGTCATGCCAGGCTCAAGCCTGTAATCCCAGCTTTGGGAGGCCGAGAGACGAAGTGATCAGCCAGGCTTGTGAGATCAAGACCATCCTGCTAACCCAGGGGAACCCCGTCTTCTAGTAAAAAGCAAAAAAGGAATGGAGACAGGTATGAGATCTGTAGTCCACCAGCTACCGTGGAGGCCAAGAGGTGGTGGAGAGCCATGGAGGAAGTGGAGCTTGCAGTGAGCTGAGATCTGGGCCACTGCACTCCAGCTCAAGCAGCAGAGCTGGGATCACTCCTGCTTCAAAAAAAAAAAAAGAAAGAAACTGAAGACTTCATTTAAAATATGTGAAATGGGCCAGGCACGATGGCTCATGCCTGTAATCCCAGCACTTTGGGAGGCCGAGCAGGTGGATCACTTGAGGTCAGGAGTTCGCACCAGCCTGGCCAACATGACAAACCCTGACTCTACCAAAAAAAAAAATTGGCCAGAGGGTGGTACACACCTGTAGTCCCAGCTACTGGGGCTGAGGTAGGAGGAATCACTTGAACCTAGCTGGAGGTTGCAGTAAGCTGAGGTCATGCCACTGCACTCCAACCCAAAACAGAGTGAAAAACAATTTAAAAAAAAAAAAAAGGCCTGGCGTGGAAGCCTACGCCAGACACCCCAGTAGGTTTCTGAGGCAGAGATTGGGCGGATCATGAGGTCAAAGAGTTCAAACCAGCCTCGGCCTGGTCGGTGAAACCCCAACTCTACTAAAAATACAAAAATTAGCCAGGCATGGTGGCGTGCAACCTATGAAATTTAGCATACTGGAGGCTGGGAGACAGAAGAATCGCTTGAACTCAGCAGGCAAGAGGTTGCAGTGAGCCGAGATTTTACACAATCAGGCCTACAACAGAGCAAGATCACCAACAAATAAATAAATAAATAGACAGTACAATACTAAAGGCTAAACAGATGAAATGAAGCAGCCTTGGCTGGACGTGGTGGCTCATGCCTGTAATCCCAGCACTTTCAGAGGCCGAGGCAGGTGAATCACTTGTCAGGAGTTTAAGACCAGCCTGAATAACATGGCAGGGAAACCCATCTCGCCTAAAAATAAAATCAGTTAAGGGAAAGCAAAGCCACCTGTGAAACCTTAGCCAGTGAGCTGAGGCACAAGAACTGCTTGAACCTAGGAGGAGAGGTTGCAGTGAGCGTAGATCACACCATTACACTCCAACTTGGTCAATAGATACACTTCATTTTCCTCAAACAACAAAGAAATTTGTGTTTTTTTTGTGGTATTGTATATCAAATTATAAAAACATGTTAATATTTGGGTATGGTAGGATCAAACTTTTCTCAACAAAGTTATACAAAAGTGAGGTAAGTTTGATTGTTTTTCAATTATAAATTACTTAATGCTTAAGACATGAACTCAGAAGTAATTGTCGTTTCTAATCTTAATAACAGAAATATTTTTAAATATACGGTATCGATGAGCTTAGCGATCTGAAATTTATAGCTGGGGACTTGGTAATTTGAGGTGCGCGCTTAACAGACATTTCTTTCCTTTTTAATGCAAAAATGGAATCTGCTTTTTATCTATGTTAGAATTTTAATATCATTACGCTTTTTTCGAATCTGGGTAATGTTTGTTACTTATCATTAAAGCTCTAGTGCTCAGCAAAAATTAGATATCGATAGATAAAGTTATTGGGTTGTTGTATAGCATAAAGAGAAATTAAATTACAAGAGATACTGTCAACCTAACCAATGCAACTTGTTACTTGAATTTAGAGAAAGTCAAAGATGATCTTTTTTAAAACTGGGGGCAGATGCACAGTGGCTCATGCCTGTAATCCCAGCACCTTGAGGCCAAGGCAGGAGGAGGTTGAGTCCAGGAGTTTGAGACCAGCCTGGTAAACAGAGCAAGACCCCATCTCTATAAAACATTAAAAATTAGCCAGACATGGTGTGCCTGTTGGTCCCAGTTATTTGGGAGGCTGAGCCAGGAGGGTCTGAGCCAGAGTTCATAGGTGCATGAGCTTTAGGTGTGTGTGGCATGATCAATCACTGCAATATAGCTAGACCCCATCTCTACCAAATAAATAGAGTAATTTGTAAATATATAAGAATAGACTTAAACTGCTCTTTCCTTCTAGTTTAAACGAACTGTAATTGCCTTAAATAGTAACTTTTGATGTTGAAAGCTCAGGTAGTTAAACGGCAGTTATAGGGGAAAGAATCAGATGTAATATATGTTAAATTCCATTGTTGATTCTATGATAAAAATTTTTGATTTTACTTTTCATTATAGACCTTGGCTTGGCAGTGTCCCTTTTTATATCTAAAGTAAATTTAAGTTAATATACTATTGCAAAGAATTTAGATATGCTTAATTCAATCTGCTGCTTTCATTCAAATAAGGTGACTGTTCTACAATCTTAGAAGAGAAGTAGTCCCACCGCTCCCTCCACTTCTCTGGTTCTATGACTTTACAGAGTAAAGCCTCCTATAATCCCCCTCTGCCCAGTGATAGCAGCTCTGCTCTGTTATGCAGGGGGCCCAGTTCATCTGCCTTACAAAGTAAGATGTATCAAGGCCTCATGATATCCAAGAAATGATCTCACTGTGTAAGGGCTGGAATAGCCACAGAATAATCAACTCATACCCGTCCTCTCATTTTTGAAAATTAATGTATTTTACATTCAAACTTTTTTTTATTATAACCTTTATAACCTCATTTTTAGCCCGCAGTTTATTATTTATATATAACTTCATCATTTGTGTCTTTCCCATGGATAGTTATTCTCGCTTGGATATATTTTAGAATTTCTGAATATTTATAATTACATTTTTCAGTATTTTCATAAAGGTGGGCCTTGGCCAAGTGATGAAGCAGCCATATTTAGATATACCCATTTCAGGGTATTGGAGGCATGGGCCTTATATCTCCTTCAGATCAGAAAGAAGGGAGGTGAAAGCAAGATCTCTGGGGGTGGAGACTAGAATGAAAGTGAGCTGATGTGGGGCATTTATTCATAGGAAAACTACTCAAAGATGTGGATGTTGCTATGAGAGATGTGACCCCCAAAAATGGGAAATACATTTAGGTTAAGCAACAATGTAGGATATAATATAAAGAGAATAAGGAAATAAGAATTGAGCTAATTTGAAAACAAATGTAAATGTGTTCGTGACAGGAACCTTAAAAGTGGATGAGCCTTTTATACCACCTTTGTAATGCAGAATTATTAATTAATATAGTTATTTTTTAGCCCTCTTTCATTATTCCATGTATGGTGA